CGAGCACTAGCACTTGCCCATGAGGGACATCTAGGCATAGTCGGAACTAAGCAGCATCTTAGGACCAAAGTATGGTGGCCTGGCATGGACATAGCTGCTGAGAGACACTGTAAATCATGTCATGGCTGTCAAATTGTCTCTCGTCCTGATGCCCCAGAGCCACTGCGACCGTTACCATTGCATGATGGACCATGGCAAGATCTAGCAGTGAATTTACTGGGACCCTTGCCTTCGAAACACTCGATCCTAGTTGTAGTGGATTATTATAGCAGGTTCTATTAGTATGACATACTGACCTCCACCACAACTTCAAATGTGATTGAAAGCCTAGAGGGCATATTTAGCCGACATGGACTTCCTATAACACTGAAATCAGACAACGGACCTCAGTTCAGGTCAGATGAATTCAAGGATTTCTGCGAAGGAAATGGAATTAAACACCTGAAAACAACGACTAAATGGGTCCAAGCCAACGGTGAAGTTGAGCGTCAGAATGCCTTTATCATGAAATGTATTCGAATCGCACAGTCAGAAGGACTTGACTGGCAAAAGGAACTCAGGAAGTATGTTACAGTGTAGAGAGGAATTGTACGTAACACAACAGGCAAAAGCCCGGCTGAAATTTTGTTTAAAAGGAAAATGAGAGGCAAGTTACCTGAACTCACATCTGTGGATACATATCTCGAAGTTCACGGCTATGATGCTGAGAAAAAAGGGAAATACAAACTGTATGCAGATGAACATCGCAAAGCAGAATACTCAAGTGTAGCTGTTGGAGATCGGGTTTTGATCAGACAGGACATAAGTTCACTACACCATTCAATGCAACACCTCACACAGTGATCAGAAAAGCTGGAAACAAAATAACTATTGAGTCACCCAATGGAGCCCAGTACAGTCGCAACACAACATTTGTGAGGAAATATGTGGAGAAAGAGACAGAAGACAAACAGGATAGCCGGAAAGCGGAAGATGATGGCTGTTCTGAGGACACAAATCAACAGACAGTGCTAGAGGGCTCAGACAGACTTGTGTCTACAACAGAGTGTCACAGAGATGTCACATATGTGAAGTCCAAAAGGGAATGGAAAGTACCCCAAAAATTTACTGACTTTGTCATTGGGTGAATTCTTGAACTGGTGAATACAAAGTGCCGTTGAGATGTTCATGGTTTGGTCAATTTAAAGCAAGGTAAAGAAGGTGGTGTTTGCTAGTTAAATGTTTAAATATGTTGTGTTATATTTTAGGCAAGATTGAGACAGGTTAAATGGATGGTCTCTATCCAACTTTGGGGGGGGATGTCATGTACTATAATTACGTTTGTGTCTTTAAGACGGGGGAGTATGAGGCATGATGGGAAATTTTGTTCATGTTGTTGGTGAATTCATGACAGAGAAGTAAAGACGCTGTTGGTAAAATGTTAACCAGCATGTGACTGATTTAATTAGGTAGAATGTGCTTCCTCTGATAAGGATCAGATAACTTAAGAAACATATACATAACATTGGCGACGAGGATGCAGTGGAGGGTGTGAGTACTGATTGCACAAGATGGAAAAGTCAGGTATTCCTACGTTTGAGTGCTACAAAGATCCCGTGACCCTTGGGCCAAGATGGACAAGGTGGCTGACATCGTTTGAACTTTACGCAGACGGAAAATGACTTATAATTGAAGAAGATGTTGCCGCGTTCATAACAAGTCCCATCAATGTAGATGGGAGCGTGGTCCTTCTTAGTCCGCCGGTGGTCAACAATCAGCTCTTTGGTCTTCTGGGTATTGAGTGCAAGGTTATTGTTGGCACACCACGTTGCTAGATGCTGAACCTCGTCCCTATAGGCCGTCTCATCATTGCCGCTGATCAGGCCTACCCCCGTGGTGTCATTTGCTAACTTGATTATGGAATTAGAGCCATGCACAGGTACGCAGTCGTGGGTGAAAAGGGAGTAGAGGATTGGGCTCAGCACACAGCCCTGTGGTACCCCAGTGTTTAAAGTGAGGACGGAGGAGGTGTGGTTACTGATCCTAACAGACTGTGGTCTGTTGGTGAGAAAGTCCAGGGTCCAGTTACAGAGGGAGGGGCTGATGCCAAGATCACAGAGCTTGCAGATCAGCTTGGATGGGATCACAGTATTGAAGGCGGAACTGAAATCAATGAATAGCATCCTGACATATGTGTTGGTTCTGTCCAGGTGCGTCAAGGCAGAGTGGAGAGCTGAGGCGATGGCATCCTCAGTTGACCTGTTGGATTTGTAGGCGAACTGCGTATGGGTCCAGTGTTGGGGGCAAGCATGTTTTCAGGTGGGAGAGGACCAGCCTATAGAGACGGAGACGAACAGTTCTGCTTTGTCTTTATATTTTCGTTGGCAAAAATGAGCAAAACAGACAACATTGTGTCTAAAATAACACAGTATTAACTTCTTACTTACTGAACTGTTGTATAAGATCACTATTACATTTGCACTCGTGTGATATAGCACTTAGCCTATTGCTCGTGTGATATTGCTTAACTAGCCTATATGATGTAAATATGAGACAAACACTCTTTTGCCCCATATCTTGAATTTTACGCACATTCTAACTATGTTCTCTAGGCTCCATCACGCAGTGAGTTGTTGCCCTGCCTCATATTTGTCATCAATCAACTGTATGAAATGTCAGATGACCCACATAGGTCTGGGGCAAGTGCGTTAAATACGTTAATAATTTTAACGGGTTATTTTCCAGCGTAAAAAAAGTCTAGACTGATAGGTCCTTTAAATGCAATCTGCTACAATCTGCTAACAGTCACATCATTTACTACACAAGCTGATTGGCCTCTTGATTCTACAGCCAATGAGAGTAACAACATTTAAATAGTCTGGTTTGCTGTAATCTGGTCCTACATCATGCTATCAGAGTTCTTCTGAAACCCTCCACCTCCCCCTGCTCCACCTGTCTGGAGCTGCTATTGGATTTATGTATGCCTATTCATGTGGAAGCAGCATGTCTGTGTATCTATTGGTGGTAGCCAATCTATACTTGCAGCAGCATTCGTAGAAGATATAGTCTGCCAAGGCCTAATACATTGACCATTGTCAGATCTATTAATATGCTAAAACTATTTGAGAGTTGTCATGATTGATTTAAATGAACCCTAACTTAAATTATCATAAAAAGACAAATGTCTGTGTTATGTGTCAAAAAGACAAATGTCTGTGTTATGTGTCAACTACCCACAGACAAGTATTCTATTTTTTTTTCTTCATGTGCATACTTTAAAAGAATTTGTACTATGGAACTGTGCTCTTTTACAAACTGCTCGTACTCGGCTTTGATGAATCATATTGTATTGTACCTCCACTGCTTTGATTCAAAGCTCTGTCTGTGCATTGGTCAATATATGAGCTACCATGTGTTTGCAATTAAAGAGCTTTGAAAGGTGTTGATGAGTCATATCAGTGAAAGGAAAGACTAAGCACACAGTAAATAGATGCTGTCAGTCTAGGTTCAGTCTGCCAAAGCCTTATATTATTAAAGGCATTTATGCAGTCAAGGTTCTGAACAGTCAATAACAATGGAAGTTCAAATCATCTCATATAAACAGAACGAGCCCAGAGATTATTTATTTGAAGCTGAGATGGCATTCATAAATGCATTTAGCAAACATCAATATTTCTAGACAAGCAGTTTCAGTTATGATGTGTGCAGAAAGAAAAATACCTAAGCCAGTCCCAAGCTTATTTCTGCTTCAAAAGCTTTCTTTTTTTCTTATTTTTTTTTTCTTTTCTTTTTTTTTTTGGTCGGTCCTTTGTACAGAGATGATTCAATGACACAGCATTCACTGTTTCACGGTTCTGCTCCAGATTCTGGGTTGTATAGCACAAATAGAGCAATGGTTTCTTAAAAACTTTACTAGAATAATATAGTGAGCAATGTTTAACATTTAGTGAATAATCTGTAATAAAGCCAAGCAGCATTTGGGTCGCAAATATGAACAAATTGATGTAGGCACCAGTCATTTTGTTTTTCATAAATATAGCCATTAAAAATATTTTACCTGGCGAACAAAAAAGAGGTGAAAAACAGGGTCAGAAATGAACTTTTCCATTAAAGGGAATATTTGCCTACCTGAAGTGATTTCCTGGGTCATTTCCTTTGTGAGGGCAATTTTATTTACATAACAGCGATGTAATATTATGGCAAAAATCATTATTGTCGATTATTGCCCTTGATATTGGAATAATGATCAGTAATGTTGATTAACAAAATAGACATTATAAATGTTTTTGTGTGTGGAAAAATGACACAGGAAAAGCAAGCCGAGAACTGTTTATGAATACGTTTATTGTTTTTTGATGCATTACAAAACTGTATATACAGAAAGCGAGCAAAGAACGTTCCCTATTATTGAAGTGGTCAATGAATTCATCGCAAGCTCACTGAGTTCAGCACTCTCACAAGAATTTGGGGGGCATTTTTGCCCCAATCCCTTGTTATTTTCCGACACTGGTAAAAAATCCTTTAGGAAGCAATATATCATAAATGACTTGTGGCACCCACCTAAATGTCCTAATAACTACTCACAACACCTTGGCAACCGCATAGCTACAGTATGTGCCAGCACAACATCTAGATAAACATGACAACAGTTTTTAGAAAATGTAAAATTAATTGTTTTGGTATATAAAAATTCAGGCTTCTCTTGACGTGCTTTCAAGGGTGCCTTTGCTGCTTCACTTTACCTCACAAATGTCTCATTCTCAGCTACGCCTACAGTACCTTGTCATGGGATTCCCGCCAGAAGCAATTTGGAATCGGTTTGTTCTGTGACAAATATTCCACAGAGACATGGTACAAAAAGTTGTGAAAGTGAGCTTCTAAAGGGCTTCTCATAATCTCTGTGGACCAATTACAGTTATCATTCTATCAAACAAAAGAGTGACATTCAGAGATGAAGACTGTTCTTTGTGAAGTATTATCACGGCTAATGTTGTTATTCTCTATCTCTTTCATATTTTCAGATAACCAATAGCATTGACTACATTATCTAGAGACATAGCTGATTTCCTTCTTAAGGTCGAGACATGGAAAGGACAGGGAATAAAGTGAGTGGAGACTGAAACAAATGTAGAGAGTATCACAGAATACAAAAGAACCTGTCCTAATAGAAAACACAGATGTTCCAAAATGGCTTTAACCCATTTTATTTTCATTCCCCCAAGGTGTCCACCATCTCCCCACAAAAACAGACAGTGAAAAATAGATCCAAGTCCACAGAGGAGGTACAGCAAGCCAAAAAGGTAGTGGCTCTACAGAATGCTAATGTCCCACATATTTCAATTTAAGTGACTCTCACTTTATCTTTAATGTACTTTATGTGTGTGTAGATGACAGTGCGGCATTTGTGCATCAAATGAGATGATCATTAAATGGGCAGGGCACTGTGTGTCAATTTTCAGCTTCTAATTTTAAAGTTCCTTTATTGATCTCACTGTTTTACACACAGTACAGCCCACAATAAAAATATATATTATACAAGCGGTGTGCCACTCTACTAAAGATTTCAGCAGCTGTCCAGCACCATCTAGTGATGTGGTTGAATAATCTCTGAGAGTGTGTGTGTGTATTTACTCAGGGACAATGTATCTCTACCTTTCTTTGAATGCACAGTGACATAGGAATTTGGTAAAATTATTCATAATTTTGTAAATATATATTATTTATAAATATTATTATTATTATTATTATTATTACTACTTCTACTAATGCAAGTAAAATTTATTTATTTTTGTAATAGACAACATATCTTTATTCCAATAAATAATAATAATAATAATAAAGTAACACATTTTTTAAATTGTACCTTTGACTTGTCACTGGGTCAATTGTCAGCAAATCCAAATCCAAATGTTCTCTTTTATTTAAAAACTTTATCAATGCAAATAATATCTTTATTAGTATCTCTGTGTACTGATATTCACCCTCTAGGGGTAGATAAGGTGTAAAGGTGTGCTGTACCTTTGGGAGTTCTTCCTCAATCGCAAGCAAAAAAGCGCGTAACGCTGAAACCCTATTGTAATTGATAGAATGGCCAAGGAGCAGTATTCTCCACCTAAAACTGATCGGGCAGACCAAACCGTAAATCGTAGAGACTTGAAACTTGGAGGAATGCTACTGTAGTACTCAGACTGTCCAAACCGTCACCAAGGGTCTCCCCAATCGGCCTGACGGTGGAGCTACAGCGATCAAAAGTAACTACGAAATCGTGCATACCTACCGTCCATACCATTAGTCGCAGGCTCAAGTGGGCCCTGTCCCAAATGGCACAGTTCACGCGCACTTCTGCTGAGCCCACACTGAGGCGAGCTCCGCAGCAGACTTCTACCTAGTCTCGCGTAGCCAGACCTTCAGACTGGCGGCATAAAGTCTGGGAACCTAGCATTTCCATGTTTTTATTTAAATTTGTTAGATTTTTTTTTCCTTGTCTTCACCCCCTGGCTGATGTAAAATTGTTGAATGTGAATGATTTAATAATTACGGCATTACGCCATAAAGGTGTGGACTCAGAGGAAGACCGCAAAGGTTTAGGGTGCGATTTGGGACAGGACCAGTGTCCGGGAAAAAGGACACGTATGGTCACCCTACTTTTGCGAACCAACAGTTACTCTTAGGTTTTTCGCTCAACCTCAATAAAACCACTGCAGTACAACTCTATAGCTATAATGGGGTCATTTAGAAAAGGATGTGGCCAAATATACCCAAAAGCCTATAAATCCGAAACGAAAACACAAAACTTCACAAAAGTAGGTGAGCACACGTGACAGATGGTTCTAAACAAGCATACAAAGTTTCATGGAGATTATTTTTTCATTTTATTTCAGTGCAGTACAATGGACTCTCTAGGTCAATAATTATAAAAAAAAAAAAAAAAAAAAAAACCCCCATCTAGTGACCCTATGCATTTGGACAGCTATAATAGAGTCATTTAAACATATGGTCTTGAACTAGTGTACCCAAAATCAAAACTTCACAAAAGTAGGTGAGCACACGTGACAGATGATTCTAAACAAGCATACAAAGTTTCATGGAGATTATTTTTTCATTTTATTTCAGTGCAGTACAATGGACTCTCTAGGTCAATAATTATAAAAAAACAAAACAAAAAAAAAACCCCCATCTAGTGACCCTATGCATTTGGACAGCTATAATAGAGTCATTTAAACATATGGTCTTGAACTAGTGTACCCAAAAGCCTATAAAGTAAACTCAAAACTTCACAAAATTATGTAAACTCATTCATATGATTCTAAACAAGCATGCAATATTTTATGGAGATTGGGCAAAAACTGGCACTATAATAGTTATAAAGGTTAAAAACAGTTTGTTCCTATGGTAAATGCCTTGAAATTGCATTTACAACCACTAGATGGCAGCAGAGGACCACTAATGGGCTCATTCAACTCCCCAATATAGTACTTTTCTCAGGTTTTTCTTTTGGATTCATATTTATACATTATAAAATCACTATTATAACATTACACATCACATTTTATCAAAGTTTGCCACTTCATTTCTACAGAGGAATCAGTTTTTGCAATTATGCCAGATTATGATTACAGTGAAATCTAAAAATAGTGTTATAAAGAGGATAAATGTATGTATGTATGTATGTATGTGTGTGTGTGTGTGTGTATGTGTGTGTGTAAGCATTCTTAATGAGTATTAATATAATACTTAGGGATGCACCAATACCGATACTGGTTCGATACTGGCCTCCTGTACTCGTACTCCTTAAAATTCCCCGATACCAAACGCCGATACCACACAGCATGTGATAAGCACCATATTCAAACAAAGAAACACTGACAACAGACAGCAGAAAGGAGTTATGGATGTCTACTACGAAGTATATGTATGCAATGAATATAATGTTAAACATTCAGTATTAACGCCTGTATAGCTGGTGTGTGCGAGCTGATAAACAAAGCACGCTGAGTGGATTGAGCGCGCACCGGCGCAGATGCGCGATCTTGTCGAGTGAATATACCTTTCTCACAGACATCACTGGAAAGTTTGTAGTTCGGTCGGATATGTCAAAAACAAGTAAGTAAAACAAATGGAGCAGCTCTAATGCTATTAAATTAAAGATGGTGTACCATAGAGCAAACAAATGAACAGTGAAAGTAACAAAAACTGGTAAAATACATTTTAATGGGCATAATTAAGTGTGAAAATAACCGAAGGATATACAGTGAAACCAAAAATGATTCAGAGACCAGATATAATTTTTTATATTTTTTTACTAGTGGGTGCAGGACACTATAGTTCATTTATGTAAGTGAGGATAGCAAAATAAAGTAAACTGTGACAAATCATACCCAAAAATTCTTCATACAGTGGACTACCAGTAAAACTGATACAAATTTGGGTCAAAAAATTATTCTGACCGAGTCTGGGAAAAAAACTGAAGTTGAGGTTTTCATGAAGCTGGGTGACAGCATGCCCAGGAGACTACAGACTGTCATTAATGCTAAGGGTTGCCCGACAAAGTATTCATAGTTGTGTAAATTCTGTCATACTAACAGCTGTCTGAATTATTTTGGTTGATTGTAATCTATTACATACCTTTCTATCAAAGTTATCTAACATTATCAAGTTGAATTTGTTCTGACACAGTTTAACTCTGAGTTCTTGTAATATTTTATTACTATTTTCTAAACTATAGCGAATAAACTGTGATAATGTGAGAAATGTTGAAGGTGTCTGAATAAATTTTAGTTTGACTATCTATTTGATAAATGAAGTTAACCAACTAACATTATACATACCCTTTTGGTTTCTGTACCCAATATTTAAAAATGTACAAATGCAATAAAAATATCGGCATCGGTATCGGCAAGTACCAAAAATAAAAGTATCGGTATCGGGCGAGTACTGGAAAAAGTGGTATCGGTGCATCCCTAATAATACTTTAACCATTTAATTTCTGTGTATGTGTGTGTCTGTGAGGGTATTCTCCATCGTGGAAGTGTTTTAGTGTCAGCCATACATTTTGGGTTTGCCTAGCCCTAGACCCTAAAGCGTAGAACATTTAAGTTTTGCACATTTGCATGTCCTCGTTTAGATAGCTGAGTAAACATGTTCAGAGATGTGTGTTTAGAAATCCTCTTACTGTGTTCTAAAGTCGTTTTTGCCCTCCTGCCACAGGCCTTTCATACACCACAAAAATCTCTTCCGGCTAAACCAGAAACCGAACAACTTGAGGTAAACATGAAATGACAGATTATGGGCTGCTTTAAAGGTTGACTTTGAAAAACATTAGATCAAAGATTGGACCAAAGACCAGTCAGTGCTGCTTGTGCTGTCAGAGCTGCTTTATTATGTGCTTCATGTTTGTGTTTGATGTCCTCGATTACATTGTGTCTAATGTGTTGTATATTTTATAGGAGACATCAGAACTGAGTGCCTCATCAGAGGAGTTGAAATGATTGCTGGATTCAATCTTCGGGACTTTGAGATTTAGACAGATCAACTGAAATTATGGGTAATAACAAGAGGATGATTCAGTGTCTCTGTTTATGGAATTGTGACTCAGTTTTACTTAGTTTAGTTAGCATAGAAGAAAACCAACAATAATCATGTGTAGCTTCTTGAATTTGTTTGAGTCTGATAATGTTTGTGAAATAAATGCACAACTGGATATCTCAGTAAATTGTGTATGTGATTCATATTAATAGGTTCATACAGTACATATGTAGTTGTAGTAAATCATCAGTAAGACTTGAATTGAATATTTTATTAAAAAGTAACATTTATTAGGTAACATTTATAAGATAATTTTCTTAATCTTTTTTTTCTTGTATTCAAATAAAAGAATATAAAATATGCAAGTAACTAAATATCAATACAGTAAAAATCAATTTTTTACTTTATATTTGTGTAATATAATGCAGCTTCAGATAATATATCTTGAATAATGTTTATTCTTAAATCTTAAATTAAACATAAATCTAATTATTTTGTAACATTTTTAGGTAAAACTAGATAAATATATAAACTTAAAGATATATTCAGTACAAAAGCAAGTAGTTTTTAAATTGATTTTGTTACTTTAAATTAGTGTAATATACAGCTTCAGGTAATATCTTGAATTATGTTTGCATCTTGAATTAAGCACAATCCTCATTCAGTATTATTTTAAAAGTATATTCAGACATATTAACTGGGGAAAAAAAAGACAAATTGCCAAAAAATCTATAACAAACAAACAAACAAACAAACAAACAAAAAAAACATATCGAACATAATTTTTGCAATGTGAGGGTGAAACGTAACATAAATTATGATGCTGGGGATTTAATGACTGAATGAAACCAATTACACTAAAGTCTGGATTTCTATTCTAAGCTCCAAATATATTATCAGCTTTATATTTCCAAATTTATCCATTGCAGTCAAAAGGCTACCAGCTCCTATCTATTGCGAACAACCATGCCAGTGTCCCCTGACTGATAACAGACAGATGCCGAGTGTTCACATCATGAGCTTTCACCCACTCTAAATTATTTCTGCTTATGTGGGGCTGGAAATTACTGTAGCCCAGATCATTAGTGCTGTTGCTCCATTGTCACATCACCACAGTCAGCTCACCACAGGAGTACGGCTTGATGCTGGAGGCCGGCTTACCTACAGATCCGGCCCTGGAGTAGAGTGCAGGTATCAGGGTTAGAGAATCAGAGTTCCAGGAAATAATGTGCTCACAGTGACACTTTATTAGAAAATGAATCAATTCTGTCAAGATTTCATTTCATTGTTTGTGGGTGTCTATGTTTGCCAGCTGGCCATGGTGTAAATTACAGGAATGTTTGGGGGGGAAAGCTATTTTTTTTTATTGAATTCACTGTTGCTGTTTGATTATTGTGAATGTCTGACTAATTTCTGGGAAAACAAATAATAGACAAAATAAAATTAAAACAACATGAGCATTTTAAGAGATTAAATGAGAATTATACAGTTAATTATTATGTAAAAAAAGGCAATAATCTCTTGTCAGTTTAGATTTTTAAACAAAGCAAAGAATTTAAACATAATTTATATCTTCCTTTGATGCCATTTATGCAATATAGCATTGGGATGATAGGGGTCTTGTGAGGTCATTTCATTTTACAATTGACTACATCCCTATCACGAGCTCACGAGAGGTTGAAAGAATGTTATTCATTCATGCATCTTGCAGTTAGCAGTGAATTATAGTGTTACTGATTATCAGATTCTTAAAAGGAACAGTTCACCCTGAGACCATCCAAGACATAGATGAATGTGTTTGTTCATTGGAACAGATTTGGAGAAGTTTAACATTATATCACTTGCTTACCAATGGATCCCCTGCACTGAATGGATGCTGTCAGATTGAAAGTTCAAAGTGCTGATAAAAACATCACAATAATCATGTAATCATTACAATAATACAGCTTGTGAAGCAAAAAGTTGTGTGTTTGTAATAAATCCAAGACATTTAAACTTCAAACCATTGCTTCCAGCTAAAATATGAGTCCACTATCCACAATATCTTCTGCAGTGAAAAAGTCATCTTGTCTGAATCAGTAGAGAAATGCATAGATTAAAAAAAAAATTTTTTTTTTTTGAGGATCCATGTTATGCTTAATTTCTCCAAATCTGTTCAGATGAAATACAAACTCATCTACATCTTGGATTACATGAGGGTGAGAAAAAAAAAATCACAATTTTCAAGTTTTCATTTTTGGGTGAACTATTACTTTACCTCTACACTCTATCTTCTATAAATATAAACATCGATAATTTATGCATTATGCACATGTCTTGCATTTTGCTATCTGCAATCAGGCAATGTAATTGAAAAGCAGAGCAGGTCTGGAAGTATACAAACTATTCATCAATGTCTTGAAAACATCTCACCACTTGGTGTCCCACTGTCCATTCTCTGGCCCCTCAGAGCGACATGAACAACTATTGAGCTATGCATATCAAACTGCTCTGTCACAGCTAAAGCATTGTGAATAAAATCATTTAAGGTTGTAGGTAGTTTTAGTAAATAAACAACTCTTATTTCCTCATGTTTTTCCATTTAAATTTTAACTATATGCTCTGCATAATGAGCGACTTTGTCCCCCAAACTGAGATGGCATGTATAAATGATGGCTGATAAATGCATACACAGACAGCGAGGCAGATAAGCAGTGCATCATTCTACAACGAGGTATGTATTGATTATGCTGTTTTCTCATAATCTCATGTCTTGTGTTTAATTGCTTCCCGATCAAGACTGTGATTGTCAATAAAATCAAAATGAGAAAGAAAAAGAGAGTGGAATGAATGAACCCAGAACCGTTTTTCATAAAGAGACAATTGAATGAAATGTTGGTAAAATGCCTCAGAATTGTAATAAAACAAAAACGAGAAAATGAAAACTGATTTTTTTTTACAATGATGTTTAACCGCAGTGAGCATCCATGATGGTATTAATTATGCGAACTGAATCAAATGTGTTTCCCCTTTTTGAGTCCTGGATAAGTCAAAATGGATCTCATAGAAAGGGGTGAAATTAAAGCTATTTAAATAATTTGTCATTGTAATGACTCTGGAGTCAACTGCACGTTTAAAGAACTTAATCAACTCCAAATCCAAAGGAAACAATTATTGGAAACAATTTCGATTTGGGTTATACATTTACAGAACAAACTGTAACTGTAACTGTGTGTGTGTTTGTGTATATATATGTTCTTTTTAGCCAGAACCATATAACGAGGACAATGGGAAAACAAATCTTCATCAATATTTGCAAGATACCACTTCTTCTTCTATTTCTGTACATGTTCATCTGTTCTTTGGACATCCTCAGCTCAGCCTTTCAGTTAGCTGGAGGTAACCTTTAACACTTTTTTGTTTGACATTTTCCACTGTTCTTTGATACAGTAACTATTGTAAATATCCAAAAGAAATTTAAAAAGCTGGTTACTTTGTGACCACTAACTACTAATCTCAATATCACATCCTTAGTGTGGAAATAAAAGCTTTGTGTGGACTGTGTTGTGTCTTTGGACAGGTAAGGTTGCAGGGGACATATTTAAGGACAATGCTGTCCTCTCTAACCCTGTGGCGGGACTGGTGGTGGGAATACTGGTTACTGTCCTGGTCCAAAGCTCCAGCACTTCCACCTCCATTGTTGTCAGTTTGGTCTCGTCTGGATGTAAGTCAAACGCAGCCATTACAAACACAGTATTGCTCTGCCAAACCTAAAAACCCATATATGTTAGAATATCATCATTCTTAAACATTTTTATACAGCGCACTGGAATACTCAATTCTGATTGGTCATTACTGCCACCTAGTGGCTGATATATTCTAATATTCAGTTTTTGCGTTCGATTATGCTTACTTCCCTACCATGAAGTAGGCGAAAAGCAGTATGTGAAATAAGTATGTTCAAATTCATATTATTCATAAAACAGTAGGCGAAAAGTATCCATATGACCTACTACTTCCACTGAGATTCTGAAGTGCACATCCAATGGACATTTTACTATCCCATGAAGCCATGGGAGTGGAGTTGTGAACGGCAATAACAAACCACGCCCCTATAAGTTATGCTCCCCTACAAAGAAACAACCAATATCATCAGACATTTCATGCATAAAACAAAAAATAAATATACTTGAGGAGATTGCTTCATGACATCCACTCAGTCATATTTCTCGTAACTTGTAGTTTGTACTTGTAGGTTGTTTTGTAGTACTGTGAGATGCAGGTAGACCCTTCTCGAAGTACGCCTGAATTTCTTTCATACTGCACACACTCATATTATAGAACATACTTTTTAAATGGTCACAAAGTTTGTTTCTTATCAAATGTAGTACCTACTCAGAAAGTATGCAATAGTGTTGTTTATGCCTAGCATAAACAATGTTCTGGCAAGGTTATTTCAAAGAGAACAAAAATGAACAAACGCTCTTCCAGTAACATTAATAGAACATTCGTTCTATAGGAAATTAAATCAAAATGTTTTTAGAACATATTTTGTTAGCTGAGTGGCAACGCTCCGTTCATCTAGGTAACAAACTATGCTACTTTAGTGTCATTTGTAGCAAACTGCATACAAATGCAAATGGCACCATATGCAGTGGCACTTATTTATGTGTTTTTTTGTGTAGCCATCTAATACTGATTTCCAGAGAATGAATTTTGTAGATGATAGGAGCCCTTGTGTATTTTCATAACTGCCTAAGGACAATTGTTGTACTTAATGAAACGTGACTCACATCTATCGATGGGGTTTCTACATTCTATGTTTCATGCAGTGTTGGATGTTGGATCCGCCATTCCTATCATCATGGGCTCAAACATTGGCACATCTGTCACTAACACCATCGTGGCTCTGATGCAGGCAGGGGAGAGAGAGCAGTTCAAACGGTAGAGAGAGCATACAGTACCTCATACTGTCAGCATTCAACTATCAATAGAAAGTTTGTAGTTCTTCAATTACACTTTCTGTGTGGGTCTGTTTCAGAGCCTTTGCAGGTGCCACAGTGCACGATTGCTTTAACTGGCTGTCAGTGTTGGTGTTGCTGCCGCTGGAAGCCATCACTGGCGTGATGAGGCTCACG